ATGGTGAAGACTATACCTATTCACAGGAGTGGATTGGGAATGGACAAATTTTTTAAGCGGATACGAATATGGAGACTACACTCCCCTGCCACCGTTTCGGTCCACTGCCATCCTTAATGACGACGGTGGCGGTGGTAGTGTGTCTGTTGCGGTGGTGTTGGGGTGTGGCATGGTGGTGGTGAATTATTTTGTAGAGAAATAATTTAAAAAAAATAAAATTTACTTTTTTTTACTTACTTATTTAAGTATTTTTGACTCAATTGGAAGTAATTAAAATAAGCACTTCCAAACACTACTTATTTTTTTTAAAGTTTTTATGAGAAGTCATAAGTTGTAGAAGAACTTTGGAAAATCACTTCAATCATACCTTTAAGTAGCTTATTTTTCCTATTAAATTTAAAAAGTTAATATTTATTGTCGGATTAATTTTAAAATAAAATTTAAAACGATCTTAATCTCAAAAAATAAAAGTCTTTTTTTATATTGTACTTTGTTACACACACCCACACACACACATGTGTGTGTGTGTTGTATTATTTATAAACTAAGGTTTGTGTACAATGGAGCTTGGTAATTTTCACCGTCCGTCTGGGGTTAACCTCTTACATTCAACATTTTACGCCCAATCATTTTAGATAACATGCAGTTGCTTCCTTTGTGCTACCATGATTGCAATTAGAGTTAGCCAACGCTTATTTCGGTCACTGCTTATGTTTTTATCATTTTTGTGGCTAACATTATTTATAAACTTACAGGGAAAGAGTAAAACATGACAAAGACAGGTACTATCCTCAATTATTGTCATGTCTTGAGTCCTTGCCATCAACACAGCATATTGATCAACCAGTAATAGTGAAGGAATTGAGTGAAGAAGACTCGTTATTTGATTCTCCAGCCTCCATGGCATGTGCATTTATGGCCACAGAAGACCCAAAATTAATGGATCGCCTACAAAATCTAGTTCAAAAATGTCCTTATGGGGGTTAGTAAAGCTAATCGTTATATATGTTTGTTTGGTTGTTTTTGTGTGACTCCATTGGCTTAAATCTTGCCTCCTTTGACTCCACAATGACGAGAGTTTCGTGTATTGAGTACACCTTTATATATATATAGACTTATAGAAAAATTGACGAACTCGGTTTTTTGGTGTAGTTCCAGCTATGTATCCAACAGATGAAGAGCTCATAAAACTCTGCATGGTAAACCATATACAAAGACTAGGGTTGGCTGAGCATTTTAATGAAGAGATTGAAGAAATTCTGTCACACGTTTACAGGTAACATAGCATCCTTCTTTATCCTAATCTGGATCAAGGTTTTTTATTTGGGTAAATAACTAGTTCTATTACAAAAAAATATCTATATAATAAAGTAGATTACGATTCAAATTTCAAAACATAAACAAAATGACTTTTGCTATTCGCAGTTCATATCGCTTTAAATTTTATTTTAAAGTTAATCTAACAACTAATATTAACATCCTAAATTTAATAGGAAAAATAGGGCCTTAAAGGTGTGTTTGAAGTAACTTTTTAAAAGTAATTTTAAAAATTATTTCTCATAAATATTTTTAAAAAAATAGTGTTTGAAACCGGCCTATTACTACCTCTACCACCACCACCGCCACTGTCGCTCCCATCGCCGCCACCACCGCTGTCACCATCACCATCGTCGTCGTCGCCACCACCATCGTCGCCGCCACCCTAACCCCACCACCATCACCACCACCACCATCGTCATCTTCCTCGCCGCCACCACTGCTGCCCAACATCTCTCATCCCAATTACAAACCAATGCTTAAATTATTTTATCTCTTCTCTATGTTTGTAATTTGATTTTGAATATGAATACAAATATATTTATTATTTATCATTTTTTATTATTCTGTGCCTTCAGACACAGACAATAACTAGTATTCCAATAAAACTCGAAAATGCTTAGGAGGGAACACGCAGTCTATCAATATAAGATAAAAGTGTAATTCTAGACTAATCGAAACGGGGGACAAAAAAATGGCAATTGATATATCAATAAAGTTGGAACTTTGAATGATGGGTAAAAAAACTATCTTATCAATATCACATCATTTGGTCTCTATTTTTAATTTCATATTTTTTTCTCGGTTTAGCATTATGCTGAGAT